GAATGGGTTTGATCGCCACAAGACTGGGGCAGCTGGCAAATGGTGAAAGCTTGTCGCTTAACCCAGCGGAAACGATTCTCTCTGAGATTCAGGCCGCTCTGACCGAAGGACTTCATCGAAGCACTGAGGGTAAGATGCAGAACCTAAACATATCATGGAGGAATGGCTCCAAATATAAAGGGGTAACTGCATCGGTGTAATTATGTGTGTGTCTTTCAGCTCCTGTCTGGCTGCATCTTGCAGTGCTCAACACTCAGCCTACTTTTCTAACTTTAAGGACCTACTCTTTTAAAATAGAGCATTTTCTGGGATTCCTCTTTAGCTCCTCCAATAAGGCCAGGTTATTTTTGGAGGGCACACAATGTCATTCATAATAATGTCTCCCAGATTCTTACGCAGCCTCTTGTGAAACTGTCCTGCAGGCACTACGGGTATTCAATGAAGTGATAACAGTGTTTAAACATAATCTGGATTTGAAGCACATAGCCAACCAGCTTATTTATTTTGTTTCTCACATTTAGTGATTTTATTAGTCAGTTTATTACTAACCTGGATAATCTCAGAAGTCTGTGGAGTGGTGAAGCTGTTACTTATTGCTCAATTTAAACTCCTAAGTTGGCTACCTGTTTTGAAGCCTGTTTATGTTGTATTTATGCGAATAGTTTCAGGCATGATCATGAAAATGGCTTTGTTTGTGGGTTTGCTTTTTTTATTTTACAGAATGTGCAAAGAAGACAAGGGAGCTGGTGACTGAAAAGTGCCGCAAAAAGGAGTGCAAGAAAAAAAAGCTTCAGAAGAGTCAGATGAATGAGAGGAGTAAAGCTCTGGATATGGGACTGACTTGCTGTGACCTGCAGGAGCAAACCTCTGTTAGAATACTTTGCATGTTTCCTGGGTTATAATTATCTATTGGCCTTTTTTTAAGCTATATTTATTGAAACGTGTAACTGATTCTGAGCAAACTCTGACCTCAGATCTACCAGGAGCTACTGATGAGACACAGGAAGCAGATCTCTGATTTGGAGTTGCACCAGGATAACAAAATTGCAGAGGCCCTCTGCAGCCTTTGGAAGGTAAAGCAATTCAATTATGAGTTAATTGTTTGCTGGTGATAAAGAGATAACCCAGAAATCTCTTTATATAAACTAAAGCTTCGATTGGTGATTAGTAGATTTATGAAACAATATAAAAAAGGTTCTCATGGTTGGTCATTGCATATTATTGCAAGTCAGTGTTGAATATTTCTCTTTTTAACATGTTATAAATGTGCATTTGTGTCACTCAGTCTATCTTTCTACTGTGTGTAATTGTACATATATATGTGCTGTGCTGATGAGAAATCTTGCGCCTCCAGAAACTTCGGGCCCTTTGGTCAAACAGGCTGAGTGAGATAGCCAGGGACATCTTTCTGGCCTCTGTTCCCACTCAGCTGAACCTCACTGCTGAGCACTGTGAGAGTATATGGCTGGAAGTGGAGCAGAAACTTGCTGATCAGCTGCAGCAGGCAGAGAGCACTGCCAGGCAGCAACTGGACGACATCAGGACCGAGCTGGAAAAGGATCAGCAGGTAGACACCAGGCTGTGAATCAAATGTCTCTTTGGCAGCCGAATTCCTACGAGAAAGATTACGTATTTATCTAGTTTTCATCTTAATTTGCTTCTTGACAGAGTTTGAAACTTAGTCTGTCTTTTTGTAGGTGTGGATTGAAGGGATGGCTCTGGGGCAGTCTTGTCTCAAACATCTGGGTGAACAGCAGATGAAAATCATTCAAGCTATGGTGGCCAGACAGAGCCACACTCTTAGCAGGTGAATCTTGGGGGTGGGAGGGAGTGTCAGCATTGCAACCACAACGAAAGACCTACATAAACACACATTTAAATTAACGGTAGAATCTTTTCCGGTGCAGATATGTTCCCTTATTAATGCTGCATGATTTTTCTCTTAGTGATATAGGGAAGCTGATTGAGAAGAAACACAAGCACCTCTCGCTGCTGATGGAGCGGTCCTTTACTGTCCGGCACTTCAGTCTGCAGATGCTGAAAGAGATGAGGCTCTCCAAACTAAAGGTGCTCTCTCAGACTGACTTCAGAGCTCTGCTAGTGGAAGAGCCCAGTAAAACCCAACCCTGTGTTGATTCAGCTCTCAAGGTAGGAAAAGTGATGCACAATCTGGTTGCACTTAGAAATAATGTGTTCACCAGAAAAAACAGAAATAGGATTTTTAGTCTGTAGCCTGCGGCCGGTCGTCGATTTCTTGATGCATCTCTGTCTGAAACAATTGAACCACCTACTTTTGCACAAGTTTCCTCTGGGATGACACACCGTCTTAATTCCCCCAACTGTCTCCATACAGAACAGCAGGGCCAGCCTTGCAGAGAGGCACCTGGGTCCAGAAAGCAAGCTACTGGAGAACAACCTCCAACAGGAGTTCCTGTCTGAGCTGGAAGCCGCCACAGAGCTTCTTCAGAGCCATGCCCAGCTGGCGCTAGGCAACGCCCTCAGCCATGCCATCCATCACAAGATGGAGGCTGTGCCCAGACAGTCACATAGTTCCTCTAAACATGACCCGAGCCTGAAAGTAGGGGCTTGTTTGAAAATCTTAATTTGAGAGTAATTGGTTTCAACCAAAATATAGAACATAACAGGTTTTTATTTCAATTTTTTTTCCTTCACCTTAGCACCACTTGGCTGAGGCTGCAGCAGAGAGCGTCTACTTGACCAAAGATTCTCTCAGGGCGTTGGTTCACATCTATTACTCTGACCTCCGAGACATTTCTAGTAATCTGCAGCTGGATCAGTCAAACATAAACCACGGTAGGATTATCTTACCAGCACAATGTTTAGCTTCTTGATCTAAATGTTCTGATCTCTGTTGTATATTGACTGATTTTCTGCCTTTTTGCATATGTTCCATATGTATAAAACGCATTGCTAAACCGAAAAAATAAAAAAGTCGCTTGACTTTTGCAAACTTTTTCAGAGATGAATAAGAGGAAAGATGGCAGGAGCCAGCTGAGCAGAGCTTTGCTGAGAGAACTTGTGAACTGGGGCAAGAGACCTGCTTCTGCAGAGTTTCAACAAAGGTAGAGTTCATCAGAGGAATTGTTCTGTTAATTAAGACCATCAGAGTGGATTTTAAGAGGGTGTTCTGTGATAGAGCAAAATTGTAGCATAGAATCACACTAAAGTATATGAAAGTTTGCATTTGTTATTAGATATAAATAGAAACGAAAGTATTTTGAGAGGCAGGGTAGAAAAACGCTAACAGTAGTCACAATTTTAGATGGACTGTGTTAAGTAAAGAAGAATAATTAACTCTTTGAGCTTGTTTTCATGCATGTTAGGGTGGAACTGAATAAAAAAACGCTCCTTGAGCAAAGTCATCTGGATCAGGAAAGGATTTACGAGGAGCTGAGGAAGAAAAAAGTTGAGCTGGACCAAAGCATGGAGCGGATTAAAGCCCAGTTAATGGTTGGTGTATCACTGTAATTTTCTATTCCTTGGCAGGTGAGTAAATTTGTTTATCTTTCAGCGATCCTGACTGACAACGCTGTGTCTTCATCCAACAGGAGGCAGAAGAAAGCTTCATTACTGAGCTGGGAGCTACTGCCCGCGTTTCTGTTCACAGTGCACACCAGATGTCCAGCAGCGAGGAGGACAACTCTGGTAAGCAATATTCCCCAGTGGTAAGAAAGGTTAAGGTCATTCTGACACTGAGAGAATTTATGTTCTTTCTGCCATACACAGAAACACACTTATGCAATCCTGATTATTTCTGGATATTGGTCTAAAGGTTTTCGGTTGCTATATTCATGTCCAATGTAAAGGTTCAGAAATGAACAATGTTTTTTAGTATTGAAACTAAGTAGAATACAAAAATATTATTTTCTTCCTTTTGTCTCCATATTACGTTTTTGTCTTTAGCAGTAGAGTGTATCTAAATAGGACTTAAATCGAGTGATGATTGCTTCCAGTGTAAATGTCCTTTCATTGCTATTTGTGCCACAAGCCACATGCATTCAAACTTTGTCTGATATTTTTATTTATATTGTCTAAACCAGGGCACAGACAATATCAAGAAAGTATTTCATTGTGATATCAATATACAGTAAGGTGCAATGATAAAATCAATTATCCATAGTTTTTGGATAATTTCCTTTTTTTACCAGCACACAATTTCTCTACTTCCTTCCATTAGCTGTAGCATCTCAACCACTAGATGTAAACATTACGTTTTAGCAGTTAGACTTCAGCCAGCTGGTCAAATATATTGATGATTTGCTGGGTTTGTGTGCCTGACACTGCAGCTACGATATCCTGTCAAGTATACCCTCTGAGCAATCTTGCAATTGTAATAGTGCACACATGGATATTGTGAAGCCAATTGAAATTCAGTATAATTTGGAGCTCTTGCCTGAAACTTTGCAGTGAGAATCCTTTAATCTTGGATCATTGGACGAATCAGTATACCCTTAAAGATGTCAGATTTTAACCCACGCTAAACGGGCAGCTTGAACATAAAGTTAGACAAGTTGGAAGTAGTATGGCAGGAAATGTCAACACAACTGAACTAAGTGTCAAACATTGTGAACCTACCAGTATCTCCTATCCTTCATCACATGTTGTTTTTCAGCAGATGAACAGAGTACCAAGATACTTGATCTTCTGGCCCTGAACCCAGCATTAGATCCAGCCTTGAATCCTTCTTTGACTCCACTGTTTGCAACTCCTGTGGTGAAATCAAAGCCAAAGAAGAAAGAAGAGAGAGAGTCTCATCTCTCCTAAAATTCCTAGAGGATAATTGGTGTACTTTTACAGTATTAATATTTTTATGCCAACTGGACTCAAACTTGTTTATGCGATTTAGGTTAATGTGTTATCTTTTGTTTGGATGTATTTTTTTTTCTACCAGGAAATAATAAAAGTCAAAAATAATGAAGTGGACTGATCTTGTCAAGCACTGTTTCTTCTTCTCATCTTGCGATTAAAACTGCAATACAGCGGACTTGACACTAATGCATTACTGGCCATACTGACACCCCTACTGTGGCTCATTCACTGCATTGATTCTTGAGTGCATGCAGATGATAGATGCCCTGCCCTCCCTTTCAGCAAGTTGTTAGATGAATTAGAGATGTCCTTCCTGATTGTAGCAGAGTGCTGCTACTCAATGATGAAAGCCTCGCCCTTTTTCTTGCTCTAATGGAGTTTTAAGTACAAGCCCTTATGGATGATAATGCAGAGCAATAGTGAAAAGTCTGGGAGTCTGGCAGACATCTCTGTGTGCAGGAATCTAGTGGGAAATTTTAGCCCAGACCTTTGTGTTTCCTGTCAGCGCAGATGTTTTATGTATGTCAATTAACCATAAATTTTTCATCTGCCCCTTTAATTGTATTGCTAAGCTTGCACCCATAACCAGCTTTTGTTATGGTACCCTGAGAAAATACAGACCAGATCCACACACACGTCCGTGTTGACCTGCCAAGATTATCTGTGCGTATTCAGTTAGATGTGTTTGCAAGTGTCGTGGCTGCTGATCTGTGATGAGGGGAAACCGTTTGGATGTATTCTGAAGTCCCTCTGGGGCCTGCAGGGACTTGTGGGAAGATGACCTGATTTCTAATTTTCTCCTCTCCTGCCTGGGCTCTGGGCTTCTCGCTTTCACAATCGGAGAAAGCCTGAGAAGGGACCATGAGGGGACGATGAGCCGACCCAGCCAGAGCTTCTTGGAATATGCAAACACACTGATGTGGATTTTGTTGACGGATCCAAGAGTGGCTTTAAATCTTTGCCAGTAGATTCAGGTGAGTAAAAATAGACACAAGTAAATGGAGCTGGAGTTACTGTATGTTTACAACTTCTATTGGATTTTCAGTGATATCCTAGAACAAAAAATGTGTTCATTTAATGTTGGATGTAATGGCTTCTCCTAATTAGACTTATGCTGTCTTCAAATATAGTATCAAATAATCATTATATTGTACACTTGCAAAGTGGCACTTATGGCCTGAAGCTGTTAATAGAGATAAGTGGAATAAAGATGTCCAGAGAGTTAAAGATGTGCGCAGTGTGACGGCGTCATTAAATCAGATGACCAGTTATTTTAGGACCACAAAATAAGGTCGCTCCTTCACTCCATCTGAAAAAGGCATTTTTCCTGCAGATATGCTTAGAAGCTTGCAGTATCAATTCAGTTGATGCATTATAGTTGAAATAAACTTGCAGAGGAGGGAAATGAAATATTCTATTGATTATTATGTTTAGTTAAACCTGCTATTGTAAATATTGTTAATTAAGCAATAGAGAAGTTTGTGTCATTTCGATTATTGGTGGCTGCTTCTTTTTGGCTGTCATTTACAACAAAACGACTTGTTATGATTAGTTACACTAAGCACAGTTTGAAGGGCAAGACTTTCAAGATTAAGCTACAACCTATTAATTGTTTATTCTTACTATTTGCTCACCCAAACAGGTGAGCTGCAATGGCTGACTTGCAACAGGAATATCCTGTGGTCCTCCTGGGCATCCTGGAGGAGCTGGCCAACATGCGGCAGTGGCTGACATTCCAGGACCTTTGTCGCATGGTCAGCACTCGCTTCGACCTCGAGCACCTCGTCGAGCTCAGGGCTTTGCTGTTTGCTGCCGCCAGCAGGGACCCCTGTTTCCCCGCCACTCTGTTCCGAGATCGGGTTTCCACCAGAGGCCACGGACTTTCACCCATAGGGGTCGCTGCAGACATTGTGACTATCTTCAATCTCATTCAGATGACAGGTGGGGTCTCTGAAAGCAACCATCCAATGAGAGCCCAGACAGTAATCCCTGTCGACCAGTCGCCTGGTCCCAATCTGCCTGGTTTACACCCCTTGAACATTCCTAGTCGAGAACGAGCAAGCACTCACATTGACGCCAGTGGGAGGCCCATCGACCAGCACTTGCTTTTTCCAAAATCAAATTACTCTGCTCGCAAGCGAGGAAGTCTTCCCCCGGATCCCATTTCATTTGTGTCCTCCCCTCCCACCCGGACGAGGGCTGTATCTTTTGACTTGCCTCACACTACATACTCATACTCCAGCAGTCCAAATCTTAATGAGGTAATGAAGAATATCTACCTGCCTCTGGAAACGGACAGTGAGTCAAGTGGAGAATCTGCAGCAATGGAGGTGTTCGAGGATGAACCGGGATCATCAGTTGACCAGAAGAGAAGTGCCTTCAGGAAAGACTTCCACAACCAGCCTCCTCTGATACCACAGGTGACAGTCAGCAGTGAGTCTCCTAGTCCTAAATCAGGACATGCAGGCTTTGACAACCACAGCTTTGAAATGATCCCAAATCCTTATCCATCGCCTACAGCAGTTCATATGTCACCTGAACAGCGTGTTAAAGCTAAACATGAGAGCTTTGATGATCTGCAGGATTCAACCTATTTTGGACCAGGTTCAATGCCAGAGCCATCTCCCCGACACCTTCGACCACCCAAGACACAGAGAGCTATCTGGAGTAATAAGAGTCACAGTCTGGAGGACCGAATAGGCATTGGCAGCATCGATTTGGGGATGGAATCACAGACAGCACAACTTCCAAGGCGATCTACTCCTGTTATAAGTGGGTCTTCGGGAGGTGAGAGTGTAGACAGTGGATTGCCAAATGGAGGTGATAAACAAAAGGCTCAAGGAACACAGACTGACCCACCGGATCCCCGGAGACTCCGGAGCCTGGTTCACGCTGATCGCCTCTCTTTCATGACTTCATTAGATGACCCTGAGTTTGGTGAAGATGACATCAGTGCAATTTTTCGCTTCTTAGATGACATAAGCATGTGTGGATCCACAGGAGTGCTGCACCCCAACGATGGTACTGCTAACCAGGACACGCCCGAGGCTCGACGTGGTCGCTTGGGTCAACTCCAAAGACTTTTCCATTCCCTGGAGAGTAGTGATGATGGACTAAAGACCAGCGTCTGCAAGCTGTTGCTTCGTATGAGTCAAATAGAAAGACAACTGGAGTCACTGAATGATGTGAAGGCTGAGATTTCTCAGGTACTCTCTGCTTTACAGCGATTGGATGAAAAGATTCAGCAGCCTGTCCTTGGTGGTGGTCAAAGCACAGGTGGTAGATGGCTTGAGCCTCTCAGTGGTGTGTCCTCTTTTATGAGCCACCCTATAACTCCCTCTGACTCATCAGAGCCTCAGCCACTGTCTGCAACCGGACATCTGTTTCCAGGGACCAGCACAAGTAGCCTGGACTGGAGCCGATGGAACACCACTGGGGATCAATCGGAAAACAGCAAAGGTCAAACAGACTCCAAAGGGCAGAAAGAAGGGAAGAAGGACGCATCGTCTCTCCATGCCTCCAAAACCCCGCTTGATGAAAAAAGTCCCTCTGATAGCAAACAACTGAACATCCCTAACTCTGCAAGAGACTGGTCAGTGTCATTTTCAAAAAATAAAGATGGTAAAGCCTCGCAAAGAAAAATTGGGCAGGTAAAGAGCTTCTGCTTATCTAAGTCAACTTATTTACCATATTTTATAGACTGTAAGCAACACTTTTTTAAAATAATTTTGCTGATCCTGCAATTCATATAGGTTTTGTTTTTATCTCCCTGACACATATTATGTTCTGACATAACATAAATTCATACTGACTGACATAAGCTCAGGATTTAATATTTCCATCTGCCATTGTGCAGAAAATTAAACACAGGCTGGCAAGATGCCAGCTGGAGAAATGTGTCCACATTTGGGTGTTTAAAGAATCTGCTGCCAATCTGCTGCACATCCTGGTAGTTGCCAAGGAGAATAATAAAAATAACTTTGCAAGCAGGCCTTCTTGGTGTTGCTGCTTTGCCAATGCAATTGCCTCTCTGAATTATGCCGATAAACTCACTGCATGCATCTCCACTCAGACTACCCTCATTTATAACATAGATATTGGTGCATCAGAAATTGCCAGCAGACTTCTAAGCCAAGGCTAACAGTTTCTGCAAGTCTGTTGTAAAAGCAGATAACTACAAAGAGTAACTGCGTGATACCATCAACACTGACAAGGTCCCCATCACATATGACAATTTCTAAATAAATGCGACATATAGTCCATGATGCATTTTTTGACTGGTGTGTCTTTTGCGCTGGAGTAACTTATAGCCTGCAAAGTGCAGTATATATTGTAAATGAGTTTCAACAATCCATGATGCAATCTATGTATATTTTAAGTTTCTCAATAGTTATAGAACAGTTTTGCATAATCTGCAAATTTCTACATTGTATCAATCCATGTCCATTCTTTCTGTACCTTATAGACGTTCATTATACAGATGTTGGAAAGATTAAATAAAAAAAAATGTTGCTTTTACTTATGATTTATTTAAAATCTATGTTTGATCTGTTTTTATTCCAGGGAGATCAGTCAGATAGCACTACAAACCTGCTTTCCCAAAAGCCTACCAGTATGGTGGAACAAGTGTTTAACTCGTCCCTGTTCCGCCACAAAGATAGCAGCCTAACAGGGGGGCTTGGATCTGGGAAAGTCATTGACCCCAGACTGGCTGAGGGAAGAGGAAGAGCCATATGGACAGTAGATGACAGAGAGGCACGAATCTCCCCTTTGGACCTGCAGGTAGGAAATATTGACTCTATAAGTGCTACAAGCATTTATTGATATTCTCTTTGTTATATAGTACCTATATCACATCAGTGACTTAGTCTGTCAATAAAGAAAAAACAAATAGTATTTTATTTTTCAGGGTCAGGAGTCTCTGAATCCCAACAACATGGAGTTCTGGATGGACGACATCTACACTCCAGGCTACGATGGTCTGCTCAGGCGTAAAGAAGTTAACCTCCGCCGACTCAAGATATGCAAGCTGGTTGCCCTCATTGCCACCGTTGTGGCTATTATCATCATCATTGTCATTCTCATTTGCACCATGGGTACATGAACACCCTCACAGAGAACATAAGCTATTGCTTATTCTATTTTCTTTTGTTCCTTCTTCATTTTCAGCAGCCATGTCATGTACTCGGAACTTGCACGGCATCCTAATGAAGATTAATAAACGAGAGACCCTAAACTCCTGGACTCTAAAACTAGACTGGTGATTTATAATAGTTCTTCTATTTCTTAGCATGATACACCATGGCTAATTACATCAGAAAAAACATCCTGAAAATTATTTCAATATGTTCAACCATTTGTTCACCACCAATGGGTAACCATTTTTTACCCATTACTGGGATTTATTTGAAGATATATGCTATCAACATAGCAGATGGTCGCCAACAGAACTCATTATATATGAGAACAGTTCTGGTTGAACATATTGAAGCTAACAACTCTGAGCCAACTGACAATGGTTTTTATCTATTTTATTGTTTTTGGTACATTTGCATTGTATTTCAGCACTGAGCACTGCCTGCTGTTCTTTTGAGAACAATCCAGGGCTAATTTCACACTTGTGTCAGATTAGAGTTTTACCAGTAGGTGAGAGTTTGGGGGATTTGTAGTATTGGGTAGCATAGACGAGGGTTATTGTTTTCTTTCAGTTTGAATGTACTTGAACTTCCTTTAAGCTACATTACACACTGCTCACACAAGCTGGACTCAATAAAAATATTATTTTTATAGAGTTCTCTCCCATATCTTTCAAACAGGAAATGTAATCTATTTAATCTGCTTATCTAGGGTGCAGGGTGTTTACCAGGGGTCAGGTTTCAACAGTCAAAGATGGTTGTTGTCGATGATGCTTTGGATGTGGAACAGTGAAGGAGAGCGGATGCCTCTTCCTGTAAACACTCTGAATTCCACTTGCAACTCAATTGATGGGAAGACTGAAGTGCACCAATGTGTACATTATCTTTTGACAGGACTCACTTGGCCAGAGCTTCTTTACATACCTGTAGACTCACTCAGGAGCATCAGAGCCTTCTGGTTTTCATTCACCTGTCGGGCCATATTCCATTAATTGCTAACAGTCACAAGGTTAACTTAGGAAAGCAGGTATATTTGACAAGATGTCTGAGATAAAGCTATGGAAGTAACTCAAAGCATTTGAGGCTTTCAAAGCTCACTTGGGTCAATCAAAGAATGTCAAACCTTCAGTAGACGATTTACTGAAGAGAAGGCTACAGGTGTCGCTCCCATCATTTTAGAACAAAAAACTGAGGCTTGTGAGACAGGCTCACTAAAACTGGGCAATAAAAACTTTGAAAATGTGGTTTGGTTTGATAAATCTTTATTTCAGCTGCGGCATTCAGATAATAGGGTCTAAATATGGAGTAAGCATGAAATCATGGACCATGTTAAGGATTCAGGGTGGTGGTTGGGGTGGTATAATGGCATGGGGGTATTTTCTAGACACACTCAGGACCACTTAGCACTAATTACACATTGTTAAAAACCCCAGCCTACCTGATTATTGGTACTTATGTCCACTCCTTTATGACCAAAGTATAGCATTCTTCAATGGCCGTTCTCAGAATGATAATGCACCAAGCTCAAATGGTCATAAATTGGTCTCTTCAACATGATAATGAGTTCACTATACATCAAAAGCCTCCGTAGTCATCAGATCTCAAACCAAAACAGCACGATGTTGGGAGATTTGTGCATGGATATGTTTGCACAAAATGATTTCATATGTATCAGAATCTCAGATGGAACACCACCCTAAAGGAGAATTATCATTGTTCTGAATGAAGACACAAAAATCCAGACAAGTACTATGAAGGTACACCTAAATAAGGTGCAATTGAATGAATAGTGGATTGCATTCCACCTTCTCTAAAGTCAAACTATGGTTCAAGAACAACTAGTGGTGCCTAAACTCAGAGGAATTATTTGTGATTTTGTACGGCAAATACAAAGCAACACTGATGTTGAGCTAATAAGAGGAAACTTCAAGGGCCCTGATGAGTGCTTTCACTTCAAAGACATGTGCATTTGGGGAAATATGAGCTTCTAACATTCGGAAGTGGTTAGTAGTGAACCCATAACAAATGATCCAGTTACCTCTAAAATAAAAAACTGGCTCTCGGAACAACTTTTAGCCCAACTCTTGCCAAGTTTTATATCAAAAACAATGGAATTTTCTGACATTTTCAGGCAGCCAGTATAACTGCTGTCAGCAATTCAAGTTAAGGGCAATGCATCTCTCTGCAGTTTTTGTTGCTGTTGTGATTGTTTTAATGAGACTTAATGTGGAAAAGTTTCAGTCCTGTTGCAAAGCTATTAAAATCTATATAAATGTTGTGATATAAGTGGAAATGCTTATTATTTTAGATCCAATTTTAGAATGACCCACATTTCTGGGAAACTATAGCATACAGAACCAGTAAGGACAGGCAGAAATTCATTGATTGTTTGTCATATCCTAAAGATTTTTTCTTTGCTTTGAGTACACCCACAAGTATGTTAGGTGGGTGTGTTCTGCTCCAATGTACAGTCCTTAGTAGCGCAACTGCATATTTGCCAAGTGTTACCCACGAGGCTGTTTATGGATCCATTACCCCTCCAATGGATCCACTGAGGAGGGCAGACCCACGAGTCAGCATAATCTGCAGGTGCTTCCATTCCAACTTCCATGCATTAGTGGATCCTGCTACATTTAACACCCACTGGAAAATTGAAAGTTATTTGAAACTAGGAAGTTTTCATTGTATTTTATGCATACTTTTTATACATGTAAGAGTAACACAAATAGTAAATATTACTGGTTTGCAATGCTTTATAATTTTGTATATTAATGTATTATGTCTTTCTGCCTAAAAGTGACAAAACAGTTGCAACTATTTTGCGGACTTACTCCAAAAAGTGCTCCACAAATGTTCATTGGAAAAACCTTTATGTCACACTCAAACCACAACTTTTGATGTTTTTTTATTGGGTTTTTACATGATATGTGAGGGATTAACTTAAAATGGTGCATGATTGTAAAGTTATGCCGCATGATTGTAAAGCTGAAGGAAATCGATACATGGATTTTATGTGAGCGAGATTGAGCTAAATACTGTTTTCAAACCCTTGTATCTACTGTAGCTTCCCCCTGCTTCTAGTGAAGTCTGACCAGGTTCCTTGTTCCCGATGAAGAAAAGCGTTCCCACCACAGTATTTTGTCATGGGGACTGTGTGCAGAACAGCATGCATTGTTGACTTACCACCAGACATAGTGCCTTGCATTTTGACCAAATTGCTCCGTTTTGGCCTTATTTTTCCAAAGCACCTTCCACTTGTTTGCTGTGTCTCCTATTTAAAGGGGATGGTGCAAACTTGGACATTTGCTGGCTCTTTTTCAACATGACTCTCACATGAAAGCTATATTCATGGTGCATGACTAATATAGTTTCCTTATCAGCAGCCTCTCCCACTTGACTTGTAGATCTCTGCAGCTTCTTCAAAGTTTGCAGATGAGTTATACTTTTTTCATATCTTGATGTTCGATCGAGGATCTGGGAGATGCCCAAAGCTTAAATGTGCTTCAAACTACTTTTTTCTGATTTGTCTGTTGTAGTCTTGATCTTTATGATGTTTGTTCACTAATATTCCAAACAACTGCATTAGATTACATATACGTATTTGGACTGGTCTCTATGTAAATTAGGTTACTTCTGAAGGCAATTGATCGCACAGGGTTTTCTTTGACAGAATCAGCATAGAGGGTATTGAATACATTTGCAAGGAACTGCATACTAACAGTTCCCTCTCAGATTTGAAGAGTCAGACAGCAACGAGTGTAAAACAGAGTGTTAGGAGTTAAATGATCCTTGACTGCAGGAAATGTACCTGTAGACATGAATTATTGATAAAAACAGAAAGGCTGTATTGACTGACAGATTCTATTATCTCAAATCAACAATAATGGACCTGCACTGCTACTTGAGGGGAAACAAAAAACAGCATGATGCTCAATCAGATGACTAGTGTACTGCAAGGAAAAAATCAAGCAAATGCATACAAAATAGCTGCAGTCTATTAACATATTGTTCAAATTGTTTCCTGGATACATATATGTATATATGAACAATTAATACTCTGCATGTGGGTGAGAGTGTTATTCTTATTAAATGCTGCATGGCAGAGTGGTTGCTTCACCCAGATATGCCAGCAGTGGCTGATAAATGAAGCTGCTCTGTGCATCCCAAGAGCCGGGATGCACAGAGACAATGACACACAAATAGGCTTAAATGCATAATTTCTTCCTGCAATTCACCTTACATTGAAACATGTAAACATGGTGGAGTAATCTTGGTCAAGAGTACCTTTTTTTATTAGTAGAGTTATACAGCTGTCTTTATATTTGATGTAAATTTGTCAGGGATGTAAGTTGCAGACAAAATGGAACATTATTACAGATGTTTTTAATTTTTAAGTAAACTTTACAAGGCTACAAAGCCAATTGATGATCCAAGCAGTCAAATAAAGAAACTAATAAAGTCAAATAAAGTCTCTTGAAATTACATATTTTTAAAATTCTCTGTCACACTGAAATGTTTTGGATCACCAAACAAATACTTACATGGGACAAAAGGTATTCTGAGTATCTTCTGATATTCCTATGGCAATCATCAAATGGATTTCATACATTAAAAGAAAAAAGCTAGTCAAACCAACCTGCATGTATGTGATTAAACACATATTTCCTAGTGTTTGAGCCACAAGGAGGTCTCATTACGGCCTGACTTGAATAATGAAGAGACCACTCGTCTAACATGAAGAAGAATAAAAGACTTCAAATCACCTATAAAATGCTCTGAAAAATAAACCCTCGAAGAGAAGCAAAACAAAATCAATCAACTTTGTCAGTCTGGAAATGCTTACAAATCCACTTCTAAGGCTTTGGGATTCCAGTAAACCAAAATGAAGGACCCATTATCTACAGTATAAGTGGAGAAAGCGTGGAACAGTGGTAAACCTTTCCAGATGTGGAAAACTCATAAAAAACCCCTCAAAATTAAAAATCCACCTAATACAGATAGATCAGATATTTATTATTGTAATACCGTAGTCCTTTAAGAGAACTACATCTAAAAAAACCTTAACTATTCACTTGACAGAAATTAATTGCCGTCCTCTGTGCAGTTACATGTCTGGATGTGTGGGGGCGGCAGAGTTCCCTGACGCCAGGTTTCAGCTGACGAAGAAGAAAACCGGCGCTGATTTTGAACAGAAGGAATGTGGAAGTTCTGCCAGGCGTGGCAGCGTTGGTGTTGTGCTAACACACGACCAGACCTCCGCTGAGGACACAAATATTATACACGCCCGCCTAACAATCCCACGGACTGTACATAGGACAGGTAACTGATTTGTGTTTTTTTGACGTGATTAATTACTGTCGAGAAAAACTGTTTGCTGGGCGTTAACGCACACCAGCAACTTTTGTTGTTTTTATGCTCATTATAAAAAGTTTGTGTCTGTCTTAAATATGTCTATAATGTCGTTTTACGATGTATTTTTGCGCTCTCACTATGTAAACGGGAGTGTTTGAATTTTCCAGCAGGTGCTCGCTCTGGTTACTGGGAAAACAGTGTAGCTGAAAAGACAACAAAAGATAAATGCATAAACTCAATAACCTTTTGCTAGCAGTCGCAGTGATACAACATGGAGATGCCCGTCGTGAACCTGTTCAACCAGTTTCAGACCCTCAGAGCTCACCTGGACGCTCTGAACGAGAACATTGAGCCACGTAAGTCACCAGCAGACCTCAGTGCTGTATTTGCTGACTCTAGTTTACTTAGCTTACTCAGTGCTACAGCAGTAAATCTTGCTACACTGTGTGTATAAGTGCGGCAAGAAAAGAAACGGTACGACAAAATACTTTATCTTTCGTTTTCTCGCCACATTTCATAATGTGTATTTCTTTTTTTATAAAAGCTTCTATTTTTTTATTTGTGCTTTTTGTGAATCTGAGAATTCGGTTGCTATTTTGTTGACACATTCTAGAAAGCAAGATCATGCTGCTCTTGTCTTGAATTCGGTTGCAATATTTGTCATTTTGCTGCATCAACCCTCAAATCTTTATTTTCTGTCATTGCGGTGGTTCGAGATTCTTTGTAAGCCACAGCATTTTTGTTCACTAAATTCAGTTTCACTGCAGTTGAAAGTGGCCAAATACAAGACTGGGTTGCAGAGCATAAGTGAAGATAAAATCTTAAAAAAAAAAAAAATCAACAAAAAAAATTATTCAATCCAACCTTTGCCATTTTGATGTATTACACAGTGCTGTTGTGATAATAAATTCGACTTAATATTTTGTTTGGCTAATTGAAATGCATGTTTTTGGTAAGTCGGTTGCACCTTTCTCCTGTACTGCAGAGTTCCTTCAGATGGCAGCGAACTTTGAAGACTGTCGTAAAAAGTGGCTATTGGCGGGTGAAGAGCTGGTTTCTTGCAAAGAAGTATTGACCAAAGTGGAAACAGAGAGGGGGGCACTGGAGGTCAAACTGAAACACGCGCGAAACCAGGTGGATGTGGAGATCCGTCGACGACAGAAGGCAGAGGCCGTCTACGAGAAACTAGTTGGTGTCTCGCTGATTTCTTATGTTTGTAGAGTTCTGTATAGTTTCATGTATTTAAAAAAAAACCCAAACAAAAACAACAGAAAAGTCATTTATGCTGTCAATTTTAATAAAAAAACCCCAAAACAATTCTTCTGCATTAACTTGTCCCTGTCATCCTGCTGCTTTGTGATGA